GATTATAGCAACTCGAGGTTTGAATTTGTTCTTCAGTTCCTTGAGCTTAAGATATGCTGAGCGAGTTCGGCCCTTTTGATTTTCCGACTCCAATTCCTTGCACATTTCATTGTAATATTTTGCTTTGTCATCTCGTGCTGCCTTTTGAAATCTTCTATTCAACTCTTTAGTATCTTGGAGCAGGAGGAGACAATGATAATTTTGTTAACATCTCCTTTCGCAGTCTGCCAGTTGCAGACACTGCCTGCATATGTCAAGCCATCACCTTTGAAAATCACAGTGTGTCAGAAATATTATATAATTACATGAAATTATCTCAACATCACATTTAGAGGAAGTGTGGCTACAGAGAAAATATTATGAGCCCCAAAGTGATGAAAAGCAGTAAAAACATACTTCGGCGAAGTTAAGAGACCACAGTATCAAGTAACAGTATCAGTATCAAGTATTTTGCTTCAAGGTAAAAGTACAATTTTCTCTATATTGTAATATAATGTCATCAATGGGACTCCACAGGGAAATTTCAAATCTCCCGAGAGATTCCAGAGGAAAAAAACCCCAAGCTTCCTACTTTGTCACAGCCTGACTTCTGGCTCCCTGGGTCCAGTGAGGAAGCAAGTGGAGGGAGAATGTCAAGAATGTGCAGTTGCCTCCAGGACTGTTCATTCTTTAAGAAACCTGATGACATCTAAGGTGGACAGATTCAAGACTAGACAATGGATCCTAATAAGGCTTTGTTCCTAATCACAAAAGCCCAAGGCCAAGTTAATTAACAGTTCCAAATTCCAAGCAAAATACCATTTCTCCTAGTCCTCTTCTAAAACTCCTATAAAAAGAGGCTGTCCTAGACTGCCCTCATGCCATTTTGACTTTCTCTGCTTGTGGTCACTTGGGGTCCTTCTCAGATTGCACAATAAAGGCCTGTTCATTTCTTGGACAAGCTTCTTTCTTTCTCTCTCTTTCCCTCAACTCTTTTTTTATTTAACAGGAAGCACAGCTAAGATACAGTCTTTTCTCTTCCCCCTATGGAAAAATAAGGGACAGTGGCC